TAGTGATGGCTGTGTGTGAGTGTATTGCCTCGGACACAGAGCCTAAAGTGACCTTTGAGTTGTCTGGGAAGTTAGAAAATCATGACTGCATGATCGAGTCCATAGAACCATTGGAGCAGGCAGACGACAGTGAGGAGGTAACCTTTCAGAAAAGACTACCTGGAAATGAGGGGGTGGTTAATGATATTTCCCTTCCTGACCACCTGACTGATCTGGCACGGAGGAGTGCCATACATCTTGACCATCAGCAGCAAGAGAGGTTAGGAAGCACCCTGACGAGGTATGCTGATGTGTTCAGCAAGGGTGACCTCGACCTGGGCCGTACAGGACTTGTTCAGCATCACATTAGGACAGGAGATGCTCTGCCTATTAAACATGCCCCTCGGAGAATTGCACCAGCCCGGCGTGAGGAGATGCAGCGTTCCGTATGGAGATGGAGGCACAAGGGGTAGTTGAGCAGTCTGACAGTCCATGGTCATCTCCTGTCGTATTAGTGACCAAGAAAGACGGAACCAAGCGGTTCTGTGTGGACTATAGGTCGCTTAACAACGTGACAGCAAAGGACTCTTACCCCTTGCCGCGTATGGATGACACGCTGGACGCTATGGCCGGCGCTCGTTGGTTCTCCACGCTAAACTTAAAATCTGGCTACCACCAGGTGGAGATGGCAAGGGAGGATAAAGCTAAGACAGCCTTCTCTTTTGGCCAGGGGCTGTGCCAGTTCACTGTTATGCCCTTCGGCTTGTGCAACGCCCCTAGTTGCTTCGAACGGCTGATGGAAAGAGTCTTGGAGGGTCTGCAGTGCAGGACGGCCCTTGTCTACCTCGACGACATTATTGTCTTTGGAGGATCATTTGATGAGGAGCTAGAGCGACTGGAGGTGGTGCTTCGCCGGCTGAGGGCTGCCAACTTTAAGCTCAGTCCTAAAAAGTGCCTGTTCTTCCAGTCCGAGGTTCCATTCCTGGGGAACATCGTTGGTAGAGACGGGGTAAAGACCGACCCCCAGAAGGTAGCTGCAGTACAGGACTGGCCTGTCCCCACTTGTGTAGCTGACGTGAAGAGTTTCGTGGGCCTCTGTACCTATTCTCGGCGTTTCGTCAAGCAGTTTGCACAAATTGCCTCCCCTCTCCACCAACTCACCAGAAAAGGGGCACGTTTTGAGTAGAGTGCAATCTGTCAGGTGGCTTTTGATAGCCTGAAGCAAGCCTTAGTTGAGGCCCCTGTACTGCCTTACCCTGATCCAGCTAGATCCTACCTGTTGGATACTAATGCTAGTGCTGAAGGTCTGAGTGCTGTTTTGTCGCAGGTGAAGGATGGGAAAGAATGTGTGGTGGCATATTACAGTGCCAAGTTCACAGATCCTGAGAAAAACTATTGTGTGACCTGAAAAGAACTGTTCGCAATAGTGAAAAGCACCGAGCATTTCCATCCTTACCTGTATGGTGCTAAATTCCTTATCCGCACGGACCATGCTGCCCTGCAATGGTTAAAGACTCTCAAGGCACCTGAAGGACAGCTGGCGCGGTGGTTGGGTCGCCTAGAGCAGTACCACTATGAGGTTCAGCATCGGCCCGGTCGCGTCCACAATAATGCTGACAGCCTGAGCCGCCGCCCTTGTGAACCAGAGTGTCAACACTGCTTGAGGAGGGAAGAGCGGGTCGCATGCCGGCAGCTCCAAGTCTGGGGAGACTCTGTAGACGCCGAGGAAAGATGGCGTCAGGTACAGAGGGAGGATGATGACCTAACTCCCCTGATCAAGTGGATGGAGGCATCCCCAGAGCGTTCTGGTTGGCCACAAGTAACAGCAGAGAGCCCTGTCACCAAGCACTTGTGGCAGCAGTGGGCCATGTTGCGACTGGAGAATGGAGTATTACAGCGGCGCTGGGATGATGCTCGTGGACGGCCAAGTTACTGGGTGGTGCTGGTACCTCATACCCTGAGGAGAGACCTGTTGCATGAGTTGCATGGTGGGATCACCAGCGGCCACCTGGGTGTGAAAAGAACTCTGACTAGATTAAGGCAACGCTTCTATTGGGTAGGAATGAGGCGAGACGTTCAGGAGTGGTGTCGCACCTGTGAAGTGTGTTGTGCCAGAAATGGGCCTGTGAAGAAGAACCGTGCACCCTTCCAGCTGTACCAGGTCGGCGCACCCCTGGAGAGGGTGGCTGTGGACATCGTCAGGCCGTTCCCTGTCACTACACGGGGAAACAGATTTATTTGTGTGGTAATGGACTACTTTACTAAGTGGCCTGAAGCATATGCACTCCCTGATCACGAGGCAGAGACAGTGGCAGAAGCTTTGGTGAATAACTTCATTACACACTTCGGAGTGCCTTGCGAACTACACTCTGACCAGGGGCGGGAGTTTGAGTCCGTGGTATTCCAAGAGTGCTGTCGACTGCTGGGGATCAAGAAGACCCGCACCACCGCCTTGAGGCCTCAGTCTGACGGCTTGGTGGAGCGATTCAACAGGACGTTGATCCATGAAGTGGCCAAGTAATGCAGCAGCGACCAGCGGGACTAGGACATGAAGTTACCATCACTGTTGATGGCCTATCGCTCAGCCCAGCATGAGGCGACCACCCACACTCCCGCCAAGCTGATGTTCGGTAAGTAGCTGCGACTTCCAGTAGATCTAGCAACAGGACGCCCTCCCCAGGAAGTTACCGACCCAATAACATCCAATTATGCCCAGATGTTGCAAGAAAGGCTGATCACTGCCCACAGATTAGCATGTAATAGCATGAGGACGGCTGGCAACAACATGAAGACACGCTACGACTGGCATTCAAGGGAAGTCAAGTATAATGTTGGTGACCACGTGTGGTTACACAACCCTCTTCGCAAGAGGGGACTTTCTCCTACCTAAACTCCAGAGTACCTGGGAAGGGCCCTACGAGATACTGCAGGTCATGTCGGACGTGACCTACAAAATCCGTCGTGGGTCTCAGAAACGATCACGCGTGGTTCATGCAGACCGTCTATGGAGATATTATGGCCCAGGATTATTCTCGTGGGGAGGAAGAGAAAGCAAGGACCGAGAAGTGCAAGTGACCGAGGAAGAGTAATAATGGAACCAGTGGAACCCGTGGCTGTGTTGGAGTGGAAGAGACAGTTGGCGGGTCATTGGTGGATGGGGAGGACACTTCTACTAACTAGACAGAACTGCGTGCCCATTGTGCGGTGTGTTTGCTCAAAACGACGGAGGCAGGCACCAGAGTGGATGAATGATTATGTAGTTAATTAAGATGAAATGATGAACAAGTATGTTTAAGTTTGTGTAAAGGAAATAATGTATGCTTTATTTTATGTTAAATATGCGGCCGGGTCGGCCTTTTGTAAGGAGGGGGCAATGCTACACCACCCTCTGTTAATGTTTTTGAATTTCGCGGGTGTTTTGGTGTGGAGTGAGGAGTCTCGTCCCGCAGAGAGAGATTGCCCGGGACTCTCGCCTGAGGAAGACGTATTCGCGACCCCTCCTCTCGTTTCCCCGCCTGAGACTGTAATTATCACCCTGTGTTTGACGTGCCGTAATTCCTGAGGATTAATAAACCCCTTGGTGAAGTGAATAGTGTTTCTTTCGATCTGACAGCTCCTAAGACAAGGGGACTAGGAGTGCTCGCCTCCACGTGCACACTCGGACCTTTAACGGCTGCTGAGGTTAGCGTGCTATCCTGTGGTCGTTTGAGCTTAACATATCAGTGTTCTTATTTTTTTCAGACTGACGCCCTCTGGGCTTCCAGGGGAACTCCTAGAAGGCGAAGTAGATTTCATTTGTTTTCAAAATCAGGTTCATTGAGAAAGCGATGAACGTTGTAATAGTATATCTTGCCAATCTTTCTCTTTTTCTGTAAAAGGGGATTATTTTTTCTTCATGTGATAAGAAAGGTGGTTGATTTTTGTCCATTTTATCTTCCATAGTTTTTTCCTTATGAGTAGATTAAATAATCTAAAGCGCAATAAAATTGATATATAATATATATTTGAAATCCAAAATCGCGCCACACACAAATGTTATGCGTTCAGGCTTAGGGACAGCATTTCGCGCTTCCCAATTGGCCGCAGACGCCGTCGCACCTGCGCTACAGCTAATCAGAGATTGCAAGCAAGCGATTTAGAAAGCTCGCTGCCATGTCTTCGCCTCAACTAGATAAGCTTAGCGAGCGAGCCAGCAAGGACCTCAAGAAGAAGCTCAGCGAGAGCCATGATCCCTGCCGTCGCTGACGAGCTCCTTCGTCTGCATGACGGCCAGGGTGTCAGCCGTACATTCCTTCTCTGAGAAAATATTTCTGTGTGGACCAGGACAAGGACTCTCTGCTGGGTGTTGCACTTCGCGTCCTCGAGGTCTTTTAGACGAACGACCGGAAGGATCCTGTCCCCTCCTGTGACACAGGAGAAACTGCCAGCTGCAGCGAGAAGAAGGCTGACCATTCTATGAAAAGGAAGGTCTGCGCCTCCCTTGCGCCCATGTAGAAGGCGAATCGCAGCGAGGATACCACCTACGGCTTCCTCGTGATCTAAAAATACCACCACTGCTTGGCCGTGGGCACGCTAGTTTCATTCGAGGTGAAGTTCGACAAGAGCTTCAACGAGGCCAACAGAACCGTTTCGCCAGGTTTTCAGAGGAGAGCCGTCTGAACCACCTGAAGACGATGCAAGAGTGCACATAGAGGGCCTTCTCGGAGTACAAGTCTCCCTTGGCAGAAAGGATCGTGGTGGCCGGTTCGGGCCCCGTGAAGAGCCAGTTCCTGGAGCATCTTCCTCGCGTGTGGAGCTCGCTGGTAGACCAGCAGCTAGTAATCACGACCACCGTGGTCCCCAGCGGACTCCAGCGGCGGTTTGCCAGCTGAAGGAACAATGTTCGTCGTCCTCAGGAGCCGAGAAGCAGAGGCTGAGGTCAGAGGGAGAGGAAGGAGGAGAGGAAAACCAAAGGGCGACCAGAGCGTGGGCGGGAGAGCCAAGCGCTCGGACGAAAGGAAGGAGTGAGAGGAGGAGGTGGGTGATGGACAGGAAGCAGGAGATGGAGGAGAGAAAGAACCGAGGGAAGGACGAGGAGCTCGGAGGGAAGAGCAAGTCCAAGAACGAGGAAGGAAGGAGGAGGAAGGGAGGGAGGGGGAGGGAGGGACGGCGGAAGAGAGGGAGGGAGGGAGGAAGATAATATATATACATATATATATATATATATATATATATATATATATATATATATATATATATATATATATATATATATATATATATATATATATATATATATATATGTATATACATATGTGTATATATGTATAAATGAATAAATAGGAGAGAGAGAGCCAGCTCAGGAGAGAGAGAGAGAGCTCAGAGAGAGAGAGAGAGAGAGAGAGAGAGAGCTCAGAGAGAGAGAGAGAGAGAGAGAGAGAGAGAGAGAGAGAGAGAGAGAGAGAGAGAGAGAGAGAGAGAGAGAGAGAGAGAGAGAGAGAGAGAGAGAGAGAGAGAGAGAGAGAGAGAGAGAGAGAGAGAGAGAGAGAGAGAGAAGAGAGAGAGAGAGAGAGAGAGAGAGAGAGAGAGAGAGAGAGAGAGAGAGAGAGAGAGAGAGAGAAGAGAGAGAGAGAGAGAGAGAGAGAGAGAGAGAGAGAGAGAGAGAGAGAGAGAGAGAGAGAGAGAGAGAGAGAGAGAAGAGAGAGAGAGAGAGAGAGAGAGAGAGAGAGAGAGAGCTCAGGAGAGAGAGAGCGAGGTCAGGAGAGAGAGAGCAAGCTCAGGAGAGAGAGAGAGGAGAGAGAGAGAGAGAGAGAGAGAGAGAGAGAGAGAGAGAGAGAGGAGAGAGAGAGAGAGAGAGAGAGAGAGAGAGAGAGAGAAGAAAGAGAGAGGAGAGAGAGGAGAGAGAGAGAGAGAGCTCAAGGAGGAGAGAGAGAGAGCTCAGGAGAGAGAGAGAGAGCTCAGGGGAGAGAGCACGAGCTCAGGAGAGAGAGAAGGAGGGAGGGAGGGAGGGGAGGGAGGGAGAGAGAGAGAGAGAGAGAGAGAGAGAGAGAGAGAGAGAGAGAGAGAGAGAGAGAGAGAGAGAGAGAGAGAGAGAGAGAGAGAGAGAGAAGAGAGAGAGAGAGAGAGAGAGAGAGAGAGAGAGAGAGAGAGAGAGAGAGAGAGAGAGAGAGAGAGAGAGAGAGAGAGAGAGAGAGAGAGAGAGGGAGAGAGAGAGAGGGAGAGAGAGAGAGAGAGAAGAGAGAGAGAGAGAGAGAGAGAGAGAGAGAGAGAGAGAGAGAGAGAGAGAAGAGAGAGAGAGAGAGAGAGAGAGAGAGAGAGAGAGAGAGAGAGAGAGAGAGGAGGGAGGGAGGGAGGGAGAGAGAGCACTCCCTTGACAATATCTAGTCTGTGTTGTGTGAACCTTAACACGCCCTCCCAGACGTCTATCACTCCACAGGCATTTATGACCTACCACCTGCCACCCCTTCCCCCCCCCCTCCTCCTTCCCCTCCACTCATGGCATCTGTCTCGAAACAAAATCTCTTGCGAAACCTTTTCTTTGTGTGATACAACGCAGATCACAGCTTCGATATATTTGGACAATAAAAACGTTTTAGTATATCTGGCTTTCCTCATCGGTGCCTATCTTACATCCCTTCTGAATTCGCTGAAGTCTGAGGTCATTCACTTAATTATACACATCCCTTTTCCTAAGTGTGTATGTATACGTCTCCGCCAGTTCTGTAATAGCTCTCACCGTCGAGGAACAGCAGCAGGAAATGTCGCTCTCAAAACGTCTTTTCAGTTGGAGAATAATGTGGTTTACACTGTAAGTATCATCCCCGTTTTTCCCAAAGTGTTTTTAAGTGGACAACAAAATGTTTGAAACATATATCATATCTTTATGTATGCATTTGCTCAGATTAATATTTGTGATCTATATGAATGAATCCTAATTTCATAAATTTGAAGCCTGCAATAAACGTTTCCCTTTAGAGCAGTGAGGACGGAATGCACTGATAAGCAAGTATTCCATACTGTCCTCTAAATTGTAGTTTTTCATTCTCTGCGAATAACTGCATTGTAGTAAAATAACGCTCACATTAATCTGCTATCTTGAGTTTTTGGTATTTAGTATTGAATGATAGGAAACAGAGGCAGTTAATTCCCCACAAATATCGAGAGGAAGTACTGTTACATCACCGACAAGACAGGCGAGTTAGGCGAGCGTGTTCTCCTTGGTTTTTGCGTGACAAAGACGGACGAGAGGGCTAAATGGGCGAGCGTCGTAAGTTCCCGTGAGTGCGAGGTGAGTGGTGTGTCCCTGGCGACTCAACCCCCCCCTCCCCCCTCCGCCCTGATGCCTGCGCTGCCCACGGCGAGTATAAGGCTCTCATTGGATCGACTCGTCAAAATGGCTCAACACTGACCATCATTCACGAGATAGCCGGACATCGAGTGAGATTTATGGGAGTTCTGATTGAGAAAATCAATTAAGGAAGATAGAGGTCTCGTTGTTCGGGCAAGACGCGGTGCAGACGAGTCCTTAGTTTTCAATTTATG